GGCTCACACAGGGGGCTGGGGGGGTTGCTGTGCACACACACACACACCCCAAGGGTGCTGACCCTCGGAGAGAGGGGCGGGGGGTGTCGGGATCTGCTGCTTTTGTGCTTCCGTCTGCTTTGAAAATCTCCCTGTGGGCCCAGATGTGTCCTGGCTGAGCCCAGGTGAAGGGAGGGACCCTGTTTTTGGGTTTCTGTTTGGCACAGCCCTGCCAACCCTCCTGGAGACCCGCCCTCCGTGCTGGCCCATGGGCCGGTGTCACTCCTCTGCTCCACACCCACAGGTCACCTTGGACAACCCGCTCGTTTATCTTTCCAGGAACTAAGCTAATTAACCAAGTCTCTGGAGCTCTAAGGTGTTAACAAGTTTAAGCATCCCCTTATCAATGGGCAGTGCAATCCATGTGTTTCATATCCCAGTTCTCCAGGTGTTTGTTCCAATCCCTCCTGTCTGGTTTGGAGCTTTGTGTGCTGAGGCACAGCAATAGCAAGATGTGAAGTAAGGAATGACCTGTCTGTGAATATGCAGATTCCAGCCTAAAAACAAACAAACAAAAAAAAGGATTAAGTTGTCAAGGTTAGCAGTGGCTCCAAAATTTGGGGGATATCTGAGGTTCTGGAGCCACCTCTGCTGTGAAGAAAGGCTTGGGAGAATTGGGATCGTTCAACCTGGAGAAGAGAAGGCTTTGAGGAGACCTAATTGTGGCCTTGCAGTGCCTGAAAGGGCTGAAGAGAAACGTGGAGAGAGACTGCTTAAAAGAGCACTTAGTGACAGGACAAGGGGAATGGCTTCCCACTGTCAGAGGGCAGGGTTAGGTGGGATATCGGGAAGAAATCCTTCCTTGTAAGGGTGGGCAGGCCCTGGCACAGGTTGCCCAGAGAAGCTGTGGCTGCCCCATCCCTGGAAGTGCCCAAGGCCAGCTTGGAGCAACCTGGGCTAGTGGAAGGTGTTGGAATGAGATGAGTTTCAATGTCCCTTCCAACCCAGGCCATCCCATGACTCGGAGCTGTCACACAACGTTAGGCCTCGTGGATAACAGGAATTTCAGGCTGTTAAGCAGAGCTCTGGTGGGCTCTGGAAGGAGGTGCTTTATTGCTGTGACACAGCTCAGGGCTGTGTGTGAGCAAATTCTCATCTCCCACTGCCCTGGTGTGTTCTCTTCAAACCTGCTGCAGTTGCCTCCTCTGTGGGAATGGCTCTCTTTGATCCAGGCAACTGTGGGAAGCCTTTTTTTTTTATTATTTTTTTCCCCAGGACAGAATCCCTCACCTGTTTCAAAACACATATAACCATGTTCAGAAGCACCTCAGAGCACCTGACACCTGCAGCACTGCAGGTCTCTCTGCCTTCACATTTTCCAGCCCTGTCCTGCCATCAGCTTGCATAAGGAATAAATTGCCATCCCTGTGGTACAGTCCAGCCTTGGCAGCCAAATGTGTTATGGATCTTTTGTGGGGATTTCATCTTCCCCTCAAGCTTCTCCTGGCACTGGCAGCTGCACAGCAAAGCTGTACTGATGGGCCATTACCCCTTTTCAGCATGACAATAATCAATATGGCTTTGTCCTCAGCTGTCACAGGGTGTCACATCCCTTAAGCAGCCAAAAAGCTCTTTATGGTTTATCCTGACTTTTCTTTTGTGCAGTGGAACTTGCTGCTGGGCTGGAATCAGGGGCTGTGTCCTCCCTGTGTCACCTGCCTCTGTGCCAGCACAGTGGTCCAGGCACTTTCCAAAAGCACTTGGAATTTTGGAATCTGCTGTGCTTCCTGCTGCTCCAGCCTTTGCCTCTCCCCTTCCCTGGCTGTTGCCAGAGCAGCTCAGACAGGACCCTGCACCCTTCCACCTCAAACCAACAGCAGCCCCAGGAAGAAGAACTACACAAAACCCCACATTTCAGGGCTTTGGAAATCGAGGTTTTCCCCCAAAGTTTCTCCCACTTCGAGCAGGCAGATTTAACCTTTCCAGGCCATATGCTAGAAAACTGATTTTTCTCATATTTTCCCCTCTCTTTTAACTCTCCCTCCAGGTGTAACTTTTTACTGCAGTGAGCAGAAACCTGACTGGCAGCAGAGAGAGGGGGGAGCAGCAGGTTTTGTGATGGTGTGTGATGCCCAGAGTGATGGGAGGCAGTAGATGAAGAGCAGGAGCTGGGATTTTTGAAGAGGAGCTCTGGGGATTTATGGTGTCAGTCAGTAGGGTACTGGCACTCAGTGCTCAGAGAGTGATGCAGAGAATCCCTCCTGCCAGTCAAATGAACAAAGACCCCGTGCTCTCCTCTTGAGTCACTATTTCAGCAGAGCTGGGCCCAAACCTTTGAAGGCAGTGCAGGTTTCAGGATTGATGGGGGTGGAGGTTTTTTATGCTCTCTGACCTCGAGGACTTTTTCCAAGGTGTGATAAAATCTCGAGTTCCTCTAAGTTTTTGAATAGGAGTTTATTATCTGGTAAAAGCAAGCACAGCCGGCTGGGTGACAGAAATGGGGACAGGTTTCCCAAATCTGCACACACACTACAGTGTACATTTGGCATTTATCTTAGCTGCTTCATGCATATTAATTATCTCATAGACATAGACATTTTACAGTTTTTTGCTAAGTATTTAATATAGGGGTTTTCTTACAGCTGAAGCTAAATGGTTATCTCTACAACCGGTCACAATTCATGCATTCTTGGACAAATAGATTTAAAGTTCTACCATATTTTATTCTTGGGATAGTAGGGAGGTTTTAGCACCCCTTGGCCTTGTAAGGGTCTGTTTTATTTCTTTATGGGGGTGTAATTAAGTTTTGCAATCCGTTTGTTTTGTTTGGATGTCATCGCCCAAATTGTGACTGTTTCACGAGTCACGATTATTTATCACACACGGATGTTCTGCCTTCTTCCAGGGGAGAAAAAAAAAATAAAATAAAATAAAAAATATAGGTAATATCTCCACTTTCTGCTTGTAGCCATCACCTGTGGGCACCCTGGCAACCCTGCCAACGGCCTGACCCAGGGCACTCAGTTCAACCTCAACGACGTGGCCAAGTTCGTGTGCAACCCCGGCTTCCGCCTGGAAGGGGCATCCCAATCCCAGTGCCTGGCCAACGGCCAGTGGAGCAGCACCCTGCCCTCCTGCCGTGGTGAGTGCTCCAGGAGGACTGGGGAGGGCAGGGCTGGGCCTTCCTCCCTGCCTTCTCTGAGTTCCTAAACCCCAGAAATTCCTGGTGGTTCCTCGGGAGCGTCCGAGCGGCGCCTGAGCTCCGAGGGCCAGGGGGAAATCTCATGGAACAAAGCTGGTTTTACCCCGGGGCTTTCCTCTGACCCTGCATCCTCCAAGGCTTTGAGGGGTGGGTGGCACACCAGGAAATCCCAGCTCAGCCCTGGTGACCCCAGAGCAGTTTTACTCCAACCCCCCAGTTTTGTGCAGAGCCCTTTTTCCTTCTGGGCTGCCCAACTTCCCCTGGGATCAGCACTGAGGTTCACTTATCAAATTCCCTCCCCTCCCTGCACTCCCTCCCTCTGTGCTCCCTTTAATCCAGTATCTCTGTGGATGCTGTTGCTGTGTTGGTCAAAGAATTGGTTATTCCCAACTGGAGAATGTATATCCCAGTTTGGGATCACTTATTCCTAATTGGGTACTGTACATCCCAGTTTGGGATCACTTACTCTTAATTGGAGAATATATGTCTCATTTTGGGATCACTTATTCCTAATTGGTTAATGTATGTCCTAGTTTGGGATCACTTATTCCTAATTGGGTAATGCACATCCCAGTTTGGGATCACTTAGTCCTGATTGGAGAATGTATGTCCCATTTTGGGATCACTTATTCCTAATTGGGTAATGCACATCCCAGTTTAGGATCATTTATTCCCAACTGGATAATTCGTGTCCCCGTTTGGGACCAGAGATCCAGGCTCTGCTGCTGAGCCTTGCATGGCCAGATGAGCCCCTGCAGCATTGCCTTGACTCTCTTTTTCCTTGAAATAATCATCTTTTTTTTTTCCTATTTCCACCCTAAAGAATCTCAAAACAAAACAAAAGACCAGGAGGGGGAAAAAAAAAACAAACCTTTAACTCGCTGCATGTGTGATTTGCAGTTTTCCCCCCATCTCCCTACTCTTTCCTGGAGAACCCTCTGCTCTGTCACCCCCTTTGGTTTGTGCTATGATGGTTTTTTGTTGTTTGTTTGCAGTTGTAAACTGTACTGACCCCGGGCACCTGGAAAACAGCGTCCGGCAAGTGCAGCCCAGCGGGCCCCACAGATTCAGCTTTGGAACAACTGTGTCCTATCAGTGCAGCCATGGATATTACCTGTTGGGGACACACGTCCTCACCTGTCAGGGGGATGGCACTTGGGACCGTGCCCTCCCACAGTGTCTTTGTAAGTGCTCCAGAACGATCCAGAACAATCCCACCCACCCCGGGGCTGCAGCCCGGGGAGTTCCTTCTTGCTCAGCTCAGTGTCAAAACTTTGGGAATCCATGGGAATCCTTCTGTCAGTAGGCTCCAGGTCCTGCCCATGGAGGGGAAGGTGGTGAGGAGAGAGATCCCCTTGGAGGTGGGTTCCCTCTGCAGGGGAAGGCAGAGCCCAGTGGGTGTTCCTGGTTCTGAGCAGCTCCAGCCAAAACAGGGCAGGGGGAGAAGGGCAAAAGCACCTCTGGAGCAAAAAGCTGCCTGGGAAGGAACCTGCAGCTCACCTGGGTGGGGACACCCCCCTGAGTGACACCCCTGAGTGAGGTGACACCTGAGTGGGGTCACACTCCCAATCATCCCCAGGGCTTTCGGGGAGGGAGATGACACCGAAGGAAATACAGAATAAATTCCTTCTGCTGCAGAGCAGGTGCTGAAGAGCATTTGCTTCCTCACCCTTGCTCTGGTTTTATCCCTTTTTTTTTTTTCCCAGGATCCTGGCCCTTTCTGCCACCAGGGTTGGGACTGGGAGGTTCTGGGTGATGGTTTGGCTTTGTGGAAAGGCACAGAATCCTCCCAGGGGTCTCGTGGAACACCCAGGCCAGGAGGTCTCCGTGGACTGTGGGAGGATGTCAGTGGTGATGTCCCCATGTCCCCTTTCCTACACTGGGAGAAATCAGGATCCAAAGTGTATCCTAGTTGCCCAGTGAGCTGGTGGTGCAGGCAGGACCCACCCCCCCAGCACAGCCAGTTTGTCCCTTTGGACACAAAACCAGCTGCAGTCCCATTCCCTGGATAAGGAATGGCCATGGAGCTCCTGGAGTCTGAACTGGCTGAAGCTGTTCCAAAGCCATGGCTGATCCTTTTTTTTTCCCCCTGTATTATCCCTCCACACCCAGCCATGCAAAGGAGTTTTGGGCACATTTTCCTTTCCTCCTGTGAGCAGCATGTCCCGTCCTCACCCTGCAGACCCTGCACAGGCTCTGGGGAATTCAGAAGTGACATCCCCCCTGGTACCACAGCTGGGGGGGCTCCAAGGGGGGGATTTACCTGTTAAAAACCTGGAACCTGATATCCCTCAGCCCCCAGCCTGCCAGCTGAGTGCCAGGGGTCTCCTGCCTTAAAATGCTGAGCGTGGCTTGGAGGATTTGTGGGCGTTCTCAAAGCTTTGGAAGCTTGGGTTGGTTTTACAACCGAACGTGTGGGTTGGTGGGGTTAAAAAAAAACCCAGAGATTTTTGCATGTCTTTGTTTTCTGCACGTTGAGCTTCTCTCTGAGGGCACTGAGGCCCTGGCACAGGTGGCCCAGAGAAGCTGGGAGTGTCCCAGGCCAGGTTGGAGCAGCCTGGCCCAATGGAAGGTGTCCCTGCCCGCGGCGGGGGTTGGAGTGAGCTGGTCCTTGAGGTGCCTCCCAACCCACCCCACGCTGTGGGGCTGAAGCTGTGGCCTGTGTCTCCTGCAGTGGTGTCCTGTGGCCACCCCGGGTCCCCTCCCCACGCCCAGCTCTCGGGGGACAAGCACACCGTGGGCTCCGTGGTCCGGTACAGCTGCCTCGGGAAGCGGACGCTGGTCGGGAATTCCACGCGGATGTGCCAGCTGGACGGGCGCTGGAGCGGGGCCCTGCCCCACTGCTCAGGTCAGGGGCTGGCCAGGGAGGGCACGGGGCACTCCCAGCACAGAGGAGGGAAGACATTGAGCCAGTGGAGAGGGTCCAAGGGAGGGCAACGAGGTTGGGAAGGGCCTGGGTTTGGAGCCGTGGGAGGACACTGAGGGCACTTGGGGTGTTCAGCTGGGGAAGAGGAGACTGAGGGGAGACCTCAGTGCAGTTCCAATTCCTGGGCAGGGGCAGAGGAGGGGCAGGGACTGAGCTCTGCTCTGGGGG